CAGGATCTTGGTTCCCAAGGATGCGCAGACATCTAGTCCACTCAATCGGAATTCACAGGAAATATAATTTCAGGAAAAAAACAAAATAATAAACACCCCATAGAATTTGCCCAGGGACCAGTCCTCCCCAATTCCGTGGACTCTGCTGGAAGAGACGCAGATTCAGAATGGGCACAAGCATCCAGTAATTTAATATATTTTCGCACACGAGCACAAGACAGGGATTATTTTTGCTGGTTGACTAGGTACTGTACTCGTACCCGTATTCCATCCAGTCTTTCACAAAAGCATATTCCCGGGTACCTATAGTACTCGAGTACTCGTACTTGTACCATTGTGGTATCATACCCCTAGATAGACAAAGAGAGTTGGTTTATGTGTCCAATAATGCGGCTGGGTGCATGGAGCTAGTCTGGTGAGTGATTACCCCACACCCAGCCGCGCAGTACCGGTATCGCACACCTAAAACCGACTACGCTTGCCCGGGAGCATTGGTTCACACAAAATATATGTCCTCGCTTCATACCCACTTGATCGAGTTGGTAGGATTGAGGAGGAGTGATTCCCGGGCAGTTCTATCGGGAGCTTTACCCAATTATTTTCTTTTACTTTGGATTTTTTCACTGTTGAATTTCAATAGTGATTTTAGCTGCTCACATGGCCGGTTTCAGATGCCTGGCACCATCCAACCTTTAGCAACGCCCAGTCTTGGCGAAGCACTGGATAACCAGAGATAATAGGATAAGTTAGATATGGATCGCGAAACCACAAGCCTCGAAACCAGCCAGCGTTGGTTCTTGATCCCTTACTTCGAATCAAAGGATCTCCCCAGGGAATCCCTGACTGCCGTTCCGTGGTCCCAGCCGCGAGAGCGAAAGTCATTGGCGGCGCCTACGGCCGTGTAAGTGGTGAACTGTTCCCGCTGAGGACTTTTTGGCACGCCCCATATTTCCATTCAAGAGGGCCCGCCAAGAATGAGCTGTAGGATCAAGGGTACCCAAAACTTGTGAATGCGGGCAAGGTGTATTTGTGACCATCATGGGATTCGGCTGAGGTAATTTCCTGTACGCTTGTATGATGGAAGATACCGATGCAGTACGTTACACGGCAAAGCCTTCTGACGAGGAGGTACCGCACTTGTGCTCTTGCAGAGTACCGGTACAGTACTGTATGATGCGGTACCCGCAGACCGAGTCGGCAGATAGTGGGTCCCGCTTGATCCCCTCTCGCTTCACCACCTAGCCCACGATATTTGCTGGGATGGTGAAGATTTTGGAAGAGCTACCTTAGGATGTTAGCATCGAACGATAATGTTATTATGAGGGAAACGAACACATCAATAGACAGCAGGCTGCAACGGAGACAGACATTCAGAGCTTCCGCTGTATTTATGCTGTGCCCCTTAAGTTCGGTTTTGTTGGGTCTCTGTGTTCCAAGCTGGAGGTTACACACAGAAATCGTATCCTAAACAAAGTGAAGGATTTTTGTTAACGAAAAAAAACTGGATTCGGTTTACGCCGTACCGATAGGCGCGAGAACGAATTTTTGTGTAACGCGTGATATTAAATCCCGGTGTGAGAGTACAGATGCTAACTGGCAGCTGGCTTGTGGTCACCACCAAGCCTCGTACGGGTTATCATACCGTAAAAACTCTTGAAATCCACTGTCATACAAGTATTGCCAGTGGGAATCATCCCGTCAGCCCACAATACGGTAGGTTCAGTCTAGCAAGTTAACGAAACCGCAGATGCCAGTTAACGAAATCCAACACATCAAGTGGGCTAGATTTATACCGTGTCAGGAAAATGCTAATCTTTCTCGGGGGTTTTTGATTCTAAACCCGGGGATCACATACCTAACGGAGATAGTGGACTTGAAGAGTTCTTAATTTACGGCATTCGACAGTTTTCCGCACTTGGGCGATTGCGGAGGCTATGGGCTGGGCGGGGCTTTGTATAAAGTGAGCCTAGAGGCAGCTCTCTCTCTTTCTCCCTCTCGCCACCTCCGCTTCCGACCTCACGATAACACACACCATAACTGCCCCAGAGAATCTACCAAATAAACGCATCCAATAATTCCAATTACTGCAAACGTGAAGTCCATTACTACCATCATTGCTCTTACACTCTTCGCTTTAACTGTCATGGCGGACTCGGATAGTTTCCTGTCAACCCTGCAAGGCGGCCTCAGGGGGGGTGAGAGGGAGAGTGGATACTTCCAAGGCGTGCCTACCGAACCTACGCAGAATAGGACTTTAGGAAATCAGTTCAAGGACCCGTTATTCAGATACACAAGATCTCACTCGGCATCTATTCCACACGCGAGAGATTCACACCTCCACCTTTCGCTAGACGAGTTGGTGGATGCGAGTGCAAGTCGCTCAAGTGGAACGGGAGGAGAGAAAGCATCCAGGGAGAAAAGGGAAAAGAAGGAAATAATGCATCGGGACAGGACCGAGGCCGTTGCCTTGATGAAACTTCCAGTGGCTGGGACAGCAGAATGCTATCATACTTAAATTCATCATCGAGTCACACCCCGGGGGCCCCGGCAACGAAATTCACCAACTTTAAATCTCAGAGTCGTGCGAAACCCAGGCTCGCAAAGCAGCGATTACCTGATGTGAAAGTGGCCAGGCGGGACCAAGCCGACGACACTCGGGTAAAACAGTCTCCAAGGAGCCAATAGTTATGATATCACACCTTAGACTACAGGAAGAACGAAAAAAAAGCTTCCCTCAAAGAGCATCTCTTCCTGTACCCTCTAGCGCTGCCTAGGTTCCCTTAGCCCTTAAGACTTTGCCGCCATATCTCGAGAACCCCTCCCAAATCCCAAATTTCTTTGCCAACTAAGAAGCCCCAAGGTTTCAGGGGGATTATGATACATGCACCGTCCGGTCCGAGCGAGACTGTATGAAGAGTCGAGAACCAGGACTGGGTGTAAATCGGCTGCCAATGAAAACCTGATTGCGAGCATCACCATCTTTTTAGCAAGGTTGGTGGCTTCACTTCTGGTTAGTGATGCACATTACCCATGATACTTGCCGACTTGCCGGCACCGGACAGCCTATCGGATATATTTTCAAAATCCAATCGTCCGAACTTTGAGTTGGTCAGTTGCTTGGGCGCTGACCTGATTACCGATGCTAACTCTGTGAACGAAAACACATCTTAGGATGCAATGAATTGGAGTGTTTCGCTCCCCCTTTCTTTCCCCCCAAACTTCCTTTTCCCGAATTACGCATGGGTCACCAACCTCCTCGACTAGACGCCTCCTGCTTATAACTATACAAAGAACTTCTCAGGCACCGGTGGGCGAGTGCTTGTGCAAGTTCTTCGCCTTTCCCAGAGCACTCGAGTCGGAATCCCGCCAGATGTCATATCATACTTGAGATAATATAGCCCCACGACTGTTTGGGACCACCCAAATTTCTCACAGGAAAAAAACGGGTCTGGTAGCTGGGGACTGTGTGAGCCGACATAAAAATACAGTTAGGACAAAGAATTTCCTTCTTTTTCTAAAATTCACCTATGTTTTCTCGCACAATGCTGAATCACACTCTACAAATTCAATAGTACTTGTCATACACTTCAACTTAATCCGTAAACTGGACGCACCTCACCATATCAGAGAACCCCGGGAAACCCCCTACAGATGAAAGCCCGTGGAATCCCCTCCTGCAGATGAAAATCCGAAGAAACATATCGATGAAAACCCCCAGAAACCTCTCACCAATTTAAAAAAGGCATAAGAAATTTATTTTCCTCGGTTCCTTCTTCAGCCAGAACGGGAGTTTTAATAAAGCAAATCCTTTCTATCGGCACCATCATACCGGCCGACTTTTAAAGTCTCCGGAATGCGAGTCACCCGTGCGTTTCTCGCGGCTGAATTCCTCTAACGTGCCAATATTCATACTCATACACGGTGCGGTTCGGTACTGTACGGGCCAAATTGCATGGGGGGTATCTGCGAAAATGTAATATCATGAACGTCCTCGGCGTGATGATATCAGGAGGTAGGTGCCTACCGGCGCCCCGCAAAGAAGAATGGAACAGCGCGCATCGCTGTGGGGGTACGGACTTATGATACTAGCCTTTTCGCATGGCGAGGATTTGTGGCTTCGGGTTAAAGGTGGCTGTTATAGATGTTATCACGCCGCCGTTATAGGGTTGCTGGGGAGTGGTGGGGTTTTAGATAGTACAATATGAGATAATATCAGGAATGATATCACTACCGCAACAGCATGGTCGATCGGGAAGAAATCTAAGGAGCAAAAATATTAGTCCTCCGGAACATAAATGGGTGGTGTTGTCTACATGCGCCTTCACCAAGGGGTATTCGAAACAATTTCGGCTTTTTTTCCTTGGGACAAAAACCCTTCACCCCACTTGGCAACGGTATGCACGGGGCATATTACTCGAAAAATCCTTGCATCAAGAACACAACCCTAATCTATTATTTCCAAGTTCATGATAGGTTATAATAACGGAAAACTCCCAGAATGCCCTCTCGGGTAGCGACCAGGGCCTAAGCTGCCCCATACAATTAGAATACCACCCCCCGCCACATTTGTCTGAGCACCTTAGAATCCAATTTTGAGAGAAGGGGCGACCTCTGGGGGACGATACTGGAGTGCGAGCACCGGTAGCCTCTCTGGACCTTGGCCGACACCCAAAAAACAGCTACATTGCATCTTGCTGGAAGGAATGATGCTTAATACTAAGCAAATTTCTCATACCCTTCCTCATACCTCAAGAACTATGCCTATCAACAACAGAACAAGAACCTTTCAGACAACGTCCTGTAGACATGCCTCCAGGGACACTTTAAACCTTTAGTACAATTTGTTTCTGAAAAATTGGGTTAGCCGGGAGGGTAGATTGTGGGATGATTGCTATGCCATGCTGGGGTGCTCAGGTAAATGTGGCGGGGGTGGTATTCTAGTCGCATAGGGCAGATTAGGCCCTGGTCGCTACCCGAGAGGGCATTCTGGGATTCTTCCGTTATAATAAAGGATGTTTCAAATCTCCAAACCGCGACAGCAAGACCACAGTATACCATGCAAGGCATTCGGTCTCATTTTATCAAACATGATAACAGATAAAAAACACCCCCCCTCTCCACTCTGTACTCAATTCTGGGGCTCATACCATAGAGCGCACGAAGCACCATCATTCGGCATGGAAATGACCGGTGAGGAAGAAAGAGTCCCATTCTCTGGATGCCGCCTGAAGATGCCAAGGTTGCCATTTCCGACGTTAGCAACAGCGACCCAATTCCCATCCCTGGTGATTGAGAAGTGGCGCGGCTCAAGGCCGCCAGAGGCACTAAGTTGCATGAAGGTGAGCGCTGCGTCCGAGGCAACACTGAAGATAGCAATGGAGTCTTGGGTCTTGCCAGCTTGTGTTTTGTCGAAACGGTTGGAGACATAGAGGTATTTCCCGTTGGGCTGGAGTGCACACAATTAGTTTCTGGGTGTGTTATGGGGTGCTGGGGGGGCTTACGGAAAGGGCGATTTCGGCGGCGGAGAGAGCGGAAGGACCGGTTGGCACAATTTGAGCGCCGAAAGTGCTCACCGTCGCAACTTTCTTTGCCTTCAATCGGCCGTGGTCGTAGCTGATCTTGAAGGTGATGATTTTGTTCGCGAGTTCTCCGACCACGAATAGATGCGTCGCCTTTGAGTTGCCGACGGGGTAGAAGACAGCATGCCTGGGACCGAATCCGGGGGGGGTTTTGATGCACTCCAGTTCCTTGATTGTAGTACTGCTGTTGACGTTGTACACCCTGACTTGGTCAGCTCCGAGGTCGGGAACGATAACGTATTCCCCAGTTGGGTCCATGATGGCCTGGTGAGGGTGGGGCTCAGTTTGGCGGTCCGGGACGGCGCCGGGCTTGTTGAGTTTGTAGGCGAATCTCTGGCTGTGGGTGAGACCACCAGACCCATCCGCTGCGAAGGTATCCACTCCTCCACCTCCACTAGAACAAAATGTTAGTCCTGCACTTGTACACGTACGTGGTGGATAGCTCAGCAGAGCTGGGGACGTACTAGGAAGCAGTAATAACCAATTTCCCGCCCTTACAAACTGCAATGCTCACTGGGCCGGCTATGCCCCTCGCGCTCCCCTTCTTGATCAACTTCTTGTCGGAGCCAATCTGGTACGCCGTGACGACGCCATCGGCAGTCACTTCGGTCTGGCTGACAGAGTAGAGCAAATTTCCGAAGATTGTCTGCCATGTAGGCGCCGGGCTGCTCTCGGAAGTCGATGCAAGCTCCTTGATCGAAGACTGATAATTGGCCGTCTCGTCGAACTCATAAGTCTTGATCGTGCCCTTTGCAGAGCCGACGAAGAGTGTTCGCGCGGCGGACGCGGTCGAGGCCATCAGAAGGATAGTCTTAAGGATAGATCTTAGCGACATCGTAATGTACAAGGATAGTAATCAGCTAAACTAAGCTGAGGAAAGGAGGGAAAGAAAGAGCGAAGGAAATGGGGCCCAAAAAACATAAACAACGATAATACGGCATGGAAAAGAGCGAAAGAAATAACGAACGTGGAAATGGAAAGGCTGGTAGGAATTTACGGGTAGCAGATGTACCGTTACTTGCGCCCAAGTCGCCGGCTCCCAGAATCCGGTGGTGGGGCGGTACAAAAAGTTCGAATGTGACTAAGTCCGGCAAGTGAGTAGCGTAACTCAAGTACCGGTATGTGTGTGATTCAGGAACAGGCAGGGAGTGGCTGGCAGTGACAACCACGGTCTTGTCAAGCTGACAGCGTCGTGCGGTTTTTTAGTTGAAATTCTCCTAGATAATGTCTTATCGCTTCTTTATTATTTCACCAAATCCGTCGTAATTGGCATAGAGCTTACCAAGCGAGAGTGAAAATGGAGGGATAATGCCTTGACGTTTGTGGTGGGGAGCATCGAAATGCGGTGATCTGTATGATATTGCCAGCCAAACTCTTCCTTGCTGGCCAAGATAAAGTTCTGCCGGGACGAAGGGCAGCCCTTCGTTCGTACGCCGAATTTCACGGAATTTTAGCTCGGAAGCTGGAGGAATACTTGGGTTGAACGAGTATGGGTGGGGTTCTTCTGATGATGACCCGGCCCATACTGTAAACGTCTTTGACCCCGAGGATCTGCGGGGTATTTGCTTGGATAGGAGGCGTTATTATACTGTACAGTCGTGTCTGAAAAGTCTACGTACCCCTCTTGGCAACGCCACAAGCATCGATCACCTCAACACCATCCCCCCCCCCACCATGGCACCACCACATTCTCAAACCCCTAGAGAAGACCAGAAAAGGGAAATCTATGCTCTATATAAACATACTGATATGGGGTATGGTAAAATTTCAAAGCTTATGAACCTCTCCAAGTCAACTGTTTCAACAGTGGTCAAAAATGTGAAATCCAGAGATGGAAACACCCTTAATCCCCCAGATCTGGCAGACCAACCAAGATTACTGATGCCAAAAGGCAAGTAATTCTTGATATTATAGATGCTGAGCCTCATTTAGCACTAAGAGACATTACCCATAAAGCCAATATTGGTCTTGAAAAAGATACTAGTAGTAAGATATTCAAAGAAGCTGGTTGTAAGCTTAGGATACCTAGGAAAAAGCCATTTTGGAGAAAAGGACAGAAGGAAAAGAGAAAAGAGTTTGCTAGGGTCAGGAGGAACTGGATAAGAGCTTGGAAATGGGTTGTTTTTGTGGATGAGGCCACAATTGAATGTGATCCAAATCTAGTGGGAAGGAAGGTCAGACTTAGACCAGGTGAAAAGTTGGAAGAAAAGAACTTAAAGCCTAGCTTTAAGTCAGGATGCACCAATATAGGTATATATACTGCAATGATGCATGGAGGGAGGACTGAGCTGATTCTTGTGAGGAAGAGGAGTGGAGAGGAAAGAACTAGCAAGAGAGACAGGCTTGGTCTTAATACCTACCAATATGCAACTGAGATCCACCAGCCATACCTTATCCCCTTCATAGAAGAGATAAATAGGGCTCCTGAAACCATCTATATGGCTGCTGATAATGCATCATGGTATAATGGAGCAGAAAACAAAAAATTGCAGGAGGACTGTAGATATCAGAGATTGGCTTATCCTCCCAACTCAGCAGATCTCAACCCTATTGAGAATGCCTGGGTAATTCTAAAAAAAGCCCTCAGAAAGCGATTCTCCAAGGTTGAGAGAAGGCCCCATAGTGCTGCTGAGTTATTTCAGGTAGCAAAGGAAGAGTGGGACCTCATTCTCCAAGGGACATTTGATGGGTGGATTTAGAGAATGCCTGAGAGAATTCAGGCTGTATTGGATGCAGATAGAAGCCATACAAAATAGTAGCATTAGGAAACTGTTATTTTCTATTTCTACTTTCATCTATTTTAAAATTCCCATAAGCAACTCAGAACCATTATTTGAGCTAGTGAAGTGACTCTTTGTGACTCAGTAAAGTGAACAGAGAAGACTATTATGACTCTTTCTTGTATTCAGAGGAAGGATAGGCCTACTATGTCTTGTATAGACTCAGTAATTGGTATTTACTTACTTGTTAGAATAGAAGTTTAATTTGTATATAAAATGAGTGTATAGGGGAGAGGAAGTGTAACAATCCCTCTTTGGATAATTAGTTCTTGGTGACAGGGAACGATACTTGTCTTCTTCTCCTTCTTCTTTGCTTAATTGTACGATAGCACTAGACATCTGCCTATGTTACTGATAGTACAAAACCTCTGTCTTCTATCCGGAACGCCTGTAACGTGTTCGCAAGGTGCTAATCACGTTATCGGTAATAGATACGATAGTTGGCAGGTGGCCTGCTCTTCCAGAGAGGAGGCGAGAGCTGAGAACTAAAGGAGGTTTCGAGGGTGTACTGGGGAACAATGAAGTAACCGTTCAACCAAGTATATTGAAATACTGTCTGTCGAAGTCTGCCTTTTCTATCGTAGAAACAGGCGGTCTTTAAATACACAAATCTGTTCATGTCTAGCATGAACGAAACTAATCAAGGGTATCAATTGATACTCTTTGGTAAAACTCTTTAAGTATCAAAGCGATACTTAAAACAAAACATAAAACAAAACCAAGTATCAAACGATACTTAAAACAAACCAAGTATCAAAACGATACTTAAAACAAAACATAAAACAAAACCAAGTATCAAACGATACTTAAAACAAACCAAGTATCAAAACGATACTTAAAACAAAACATAAAACAAAACCAAGTATCAAACGATACTTAAAACAAACCAAGTATCAAAGCGATACTTAAAACAAAACATAAACGGTACACAGAGACGAG